GTTCAGTTCTAGTTCAGTTCTAGTTCAGTTCTAGTTCAGTTCTAGTTCAGTTCTAGTTCAGTTCTAGTTCAGTTCTAGTTCAGTTCTAGTTCAGTTCTAGTTCAGTTCTAGTTCAGTTCTAGTTCAGTTCTAGTTCAGTTCTAGTTCAGTTCTAGTTCAGTTCTAGTTCAGTTCTAGTTCAGTTCTAGTTCAGTTCTAGTTCAGTTCTAGTTCAGTTCTAGTTCAGTTCTAGTTCAGTTCTAGTTCAGTTCTAGTTCAGTTCTAGTTCAGTTCTAGTTCAGTTCTAGTTCAGTTCTAGTTCAGTTCTAGTTCAGTTCTAGTTCAGTTCTAGTTCAGTTCTAGTTCAGTTCTAGTTCAGTTCTAGTTCAGTTCTAGTTCAGTTCTAGTTCAGTTCTAGTTCAGTTCTAGTTCAGTTCTAGTTCAGTTGTATATTCGTCTAGTTTCATTCAGTCAGTCAGTTCTAGTTCAGTTTAGGTCAGTTCTAGTTCAGTTCTAGTTCAGGTTCTAGTTCAGTTCTAGTTCAGTTCTAGTTCAGTTCTAGTTCAGTTCTAGTTCAGTTCTAGTTCAGTCTCGTTCAGTTCCTAGGTCTAGTTCAGTTCTAGTTCAGTTCTAGTTCATGCTAGTTCAGGTTCTAGTTCAGTTCTAGTTCAGTTCTAGTTCAGTTCTAGTTCAGTTCTAGTTCAGTTCTAGTTCAGTTCTAGTTCAGTTCTAGTTCAGTTCAGTTCAGTTTCTAGTTCAGTTTCTTAGTTCAGTTCTAGGTCCGTTCTAGTTCAGTTTCTAGTTCCGTTCTAGTTCAGTTCTAGTTCCGTTCTAGTTCAGTTCTAGTTCAGTTCTAGTTCAGTTCTAGTTCAGGTTCTAGTTCAGTTCTTCGTTCAGTTCTAGTTCAGTTCTAGTTTCAGTTTCTACGTTCAGTTCTAGTCAGTTCTAGTTCAGTTCTAGTCAGTTCTAGTTCAGTTCTAGTTCAGTTCTAGTTCAGTTCTAGTTCAGTTCTAGTTCAGTTCTAGTCAGTTTCTAGTTCAGTTCTGTCAGTCTAGGTTCTAGTTCATTCTAGTTCATTCTAGTTCAGTTCTTTCAGTTCTAGTTCAGTTCAGTTCTAGTTCAGTTCTAGTTCGTTAGTTATCTAGTTCAGTTCTAGTTCAGTTGTTCTAGTTCAGTTCTAGATTCAGCTATAGTATCAGTCTAGTAGTCAGTCTTAAAGTTCAAATACGTTTGTTTAGATATTGTTCTGTTCAGCTTAGTATCGTTGACTTAATCAAATACGTTTGTTAGTAAGCTAGTAAGTATTTTGGTGATACTGGATCTAAGAGTGAGATAATGTCCATTTCCTTAAAGAAACATGTTATACAAATTATTAAATACTGTAAGTCATTTGTATGTATAGAGTTATTTTATTTAGGAAAATTTTGTTAGAATGTATTCTATCTGTTTGTTTGTAATACCCAAATCGCATAAAAACTTTTAAATAGTACAATCATATATTTTACTTTCAATTTCGCAATAAAACTAATTTAATGTGACATTAATTCTAATCATTGCTTAAAAATTAGATTACATAAAGGTATTCTTGATATTCAATTGAGAACTTTCAATTAATGATGTTTTCCAGAAACATCTCAAAAACAAATTTATTTGAATAAAATATAGATAATTTAGATCTATATCTTAAAAAAGAGTTGGTGTGTCAAAGTTTTTCTGAGAACTTTTTAACACGATCTAAATTTTAATTGTACCTAGTCAAAATTTTTACAGTGTTCTTTTATTTCAGAAAAGAATTATTGTCTTTTACGTCAACACTTCCAAAAAATAACCCTAACTGCAAATAAATTATACAAATCCAATCATAAATGTCCATTATTTTACCACACAATTGCAAGAAAAACATATTAACCAAATCTACACGTAAATGTTCAAACATCAAGCAATTTACGTTAAATATTAACCAATAATTTTGAAGACGACAAATGAAGTGACAAATTGTCTGTCAAATGTCTGCATAATTGAACAAATGCAATTCTTGGCTCCACAACTCTTTTAACAGCCAACCAAGTCAGTAAACTCAATAAATTTGAAGTATTACTTAGTGGCTATTGAGAAATTCAAAAATTGTAATTTAAACACACAAAACATGACATAAATTTACATGAATAAATATTTATTACAAAAAAAGGTAAAAAACCAAAAAAATATTGAGTAAATTTGAAATCAGATTGCTTATGTTTTGCAACATTTATTTTTGTCAAGTACTTATTCTATATAAATATTTGTTTTGAATCTTATTATTTGAAGTGTATTGTGTCGTCATGTTTTTTTAATTAGGCTTTCAACTAATTTGACAATTTAAGACAAACAACTAACTAATCATATTACTAATAGTAGTGATTTCTTGTTGATTTGTTAATAATTTTATTTGAAAAATGACCTTGTATATGTACATATTTGTAAATACATACAGACTGTATTTATTACACGCTTAATTAATAAACAATGATTTATTTATTTAATAATATTTGAATATTTTAATTTTGTCTATGCTAAAGTTATTTACAACTAAACTATTTTTTGATATACATAGAAAAAATAATTCATAAAAATTTTCCTTCATAATACGAAAAGTTCAGAAATACTATGTAATTGAACAAGACACAGTTTTACTCTAGTCTATAGTCTAATCTATAGTCTAGTCTATAGTGTAGTCTATAGTCTAATCTATAGTCTAGTCTATAGTGTAGTCTATAGTCTAGTCTATAGTCTAGTCTATAGTCTAGTCTATAGTCTAGTCTATAGTCTAGTCTATAGTCTAGTCTATAGTCTAGTCTATAGTCTAGTCTATAGTCTAGTCTATAGTCTAGTCTATAGTCTAGTCTATAGTCTAGTCTATAGTCTAGTCTATAGTCTAGTCTATAGTCTAGTCTATAGTCTAGTCTATAGTCTAGTCTATAGTCTAGTCTATAGTCTAGTCTATAGTCTAGTCTATAGTCTAGTCTATAGTCTAGTCTATAGTCTAGTCTATAGTCTAGTCTATAGTCTAGTCTATAGTCTAGTCTATAGTCTAGTCTATAGTCTAGTCTATAGTCTAGTCTATAGTCTAGTCTATAGTCTAGTCTATAGTCTAGTCTATAGTCTAGTCTATAGTCTAGTCTATAGTCTAGTCTATAGTCTAGTCTATAGTCTAGTCTATAGTCTAGTCTATAGTCTAGTCTATAGTCTAGTCTATAGTCTAGTCTATAGTCTAGTCTATAGTCTAGTCTATAGTCTAGTCTATAGTCTAGTCTATAGTGTAGTCTAGTCTATAGTCTAGTCTATAGTCTAGTCTATAGTCTAGTCTATAGTGTAGTCTAGTCTATAGTCTAGTCTATAGTCTAGTCTATAGTCTAGTCTATAGTGTAGTCTAGTCTATAGTCTAGTCTATAGTCTAGTCTATAGTCTAGTCTATAGTCTAGTCTATAGTCTAGTCTATAGTCTAGTCTATAGTCTAGTCTATAGTCTAGTAGTCTATAGTCTAGTCTATAGTCTAGTCTATAGTCTAGTCTATAGTCTAGTCTAGTCTATAGTCTAGTCTATAGTCTAGTCTATAGTCTAGTCTATAGTCTAGTCTATAGTCTAGTCTATAGTCTAGTCTATAGTCTAGTCTATAGTCTAGTCTATAGTCTAGTCTATAGTCTAGTCTATAGTCTAGTCTATAGTCTAGTCTATAGTCTAGTCTATAGTCTAGTCTATAGTCTAGTCTATAGTCTAGTCTATAGTCTAGTCTATAGTCTAGTCTATAGTCTAGTCTATAGTCTAGTCTATAGTCTAGTCTATAGTCTAGTCTATAGTCTAGTCTATAGTCTAGTCTATAGTCTAGTCTATAGTCTAGTCTATAGTCTAGTCTATAGTCTAGTCTATAGTCTAGTCTATAGTCTAGTCTATAGTCTAGTCTATAGTCTAGTCTATAGTCTAGTCTATAGTCTAGTCTATAGTCTAGTCTATAGTCTAGTCTATAGTCTAGTCTATAGTCTAGTCTATAGTCTAGTCTATAGTCTAGTCTATAGTCTAGTCTATAGTCTAGTCTATAGTCTAGTCTATAGTCTAGTCTATAGTCTAGTCTATAGTCTAGTCTATAGTCTAGTCTATAGTCTAGTCTATAGTCTAGTCTATAGTCTAGTCTATAGTCTAGTCTATAGTCTAGTCTATAGTCTAGTCTATAGTCTAGTCTATAGTCTAGTCTATAGTCTAGTCTATAGTCTAGTCTATAGTCTAGTCTATAGTCTAGTCTAAGTCTAGTCTATAGTCTAGTTTATAGTCTTGTCTATAGTCTAGTTTATAGTCTAGTCTATGATCTCAAATGGAAAATTTATAGAAAATTTCCCATAAATAGGGGATTTATTGCAAATTTCCCTTAAATATAGGTTTTATGGATATTTTCTCTTAAATGGTAAATTTATCGAAATTTCCCATAAAATAGAGAATTTTTTGTTAATTTTCATTAAATAGAGAATTTTTCTAAAATTTCCTTTGAATAGAAGATTTAATGAATTTATTGAAAGTTTCCCTTAAATAGAATGAAAATAGATAAAAAATTTCCCTTAAATAGAGTGAAAATATTTAGATAGACAAATTCCCTTTAAGTAGGAAATTTGTGATAAAATGTTCTATGAATGGAAGATTTAAAAAAAAAATTTCCCTAAAATAGACAATTTATTGAAAATTTCGCAATAATAAAGCATTTAAGGAAAAATTCCTTAAAAGAGGAAATTTATAGAAACTTTCCAAAAATTAACTTTTTTTTTAAAATATCCATAAACTAGCGAATTTTTCGAAAATTTCCCTTTACACAAAATGTATCAAAAATTTTTTTTCTAAACAAAAATCAAAAATATATTGAAAATTCCTCTAAGTGAAGAACTTATTACAAATTTTCTTTAAATAGAAAAATTTCTCAAAAATTTCCCTTTGATTTAGAAATTATTCAAAAATTTCCATTAAATATAGAGTTTATGGAAAATTTCACTTTTACTTACTTCTCAAAGCCCACAAATCGAAGTTATGCAAACTTTCCAAATATTGTTGGGTATGTAAACGACACAATTCCGAAGCCTCCGGATTACGGGAAGCATCAAAAGGTTGAGCTATGGATATGAATTTCTGGCCAATGTTGTAAATGTATTCTAAAAAAAAAGAAAAAAAAAGTAGAAAAATTAATGAATTGTTAAAAAAATTTATATAATTGTTGTTGTTGTAGATACAATATTCAACTTCAATTAAACGTTCTTGATAGAACTACAATATGTAGGTCATACATACATGTCTGCTTAAAAATGGAATTATTAATATGTATTTTATTGAGTTAAATGAAATGTTTAGTTTGTATTAAATAAATTATTTAAATTTATGTAACTTTCAATTCTGCTAAGAAAAAAAAAAACGATTAAAACCAAACGTAAATGTTTAAATAACAGGTTAGAATATGTTTGAGATTCGGTCAAGAACGTTCACTTGCAGATCGCGAAATACTTTGATAACATACGATGCTGATCTAGACTAAATTCTAGCTTAAGGTTATAAATAGTTTTGCACATATTTATAAATATTATTTATAAAATTTTAACAAAGTTCTAGTAGAAATTAATATGTTATTGAGCTGAATAGTTAGGTTAGGTCTAAAATTTATTCGACAACTTTCGTAACCTAATTTGTTCAATTGTTATTGACTCCCTCCCAAAAAATGTAAATACATCTTCCTGTTTTTATCGTAAAAAAAATAATAATTTCAATATTGTTGCATAATTTTATTGTGACATATATGGAGTCAATCCAAACACACTTCAGTCAATCAGAGTACTACTTGAGTCTATAAATTCAATATTATTGAATGATAATTTTAACACGTAAAAACTGTCAAGTTTTATTTATAAATGACGACAATACTTTGTAGGTGGCTGGCTGTGAAAACAAACTAAAGTCTAAAGTTTAATTTTAACACAAATCTTAAACTCTAGTTGAGAGAAAGTATTTATAATTTTATTTGTAATTGACAATTTTGTTTAAAAATATACATATGTATAATTAAAATAATTTGTCTTTTCTAGAATTCAAACAAACATTTTTTTATTAGTTTTTTTTTTATAATTACAACTAATTTGTTGTTGTGAGAGAAATACAAAATGTTTAACCGTTTTTTTTTCCAAATTGTTAAAATTCCCTTAATAACATTTTTCAAATGTTTGTATTTACATATGTGTATGTATGATTATCAAAATAACACACCTTTAAACAATCACTAATAAAATTCACAAAATTCCCCAAATACGAAAAAAAAAAACTTAACTATTCACAAGTAATTCATTTACTCAAATAAAGAAGCATATTATGTGTCATAATTTGGCATACATATAATAAATTTATTAAATTAATTTTTGTTATAATAACGAAATTTTAATGCAAAAATAAAGTACAAAAAAATATTTCTATTTTTTGCTAAAGCGAAATAAATTGTGATCTGTTGAGATACCCTACTTAGCATATAAACAATTTTGCATCATTTGTTATTATTTCTTTCTTCAATGATTCTTAGAATTAGTTGAAAAGAGCAAAAATTAGGGAATTCTTATTCTAACATCCCTTAAATAAATAATTCAGCCGAAATTAGCAAAAAATAGTAAAATTAAACAATTTTTTGTCTATTAGTCATTGCTCAAAAAGTCAGAGATCAACTGATCTATTAATATATTTTAGCTTCATCTCTGATTGACTAGTATCTGATCGATCAGTTACTGATCGCTTTATTTGTGATCGAATAGTTTCTGGCCGACTAGACTATGTTCGATTAATCTCTGACAGACTTTTCATTGATTTACCATTTTCTGATAGTATCCAATCGACGAGTCACTGATTGACTATTCTTTGATTAAACAATCTGTGATTACTAGTATCTGATTATAGTCTATTGTCTTGACTATAGATTGATCTATTTGTCAAGACTATAGATTAGTAAAGACTATAGACTAATCTATAGTAAAGACTATAGACAGATCTGTAGTAAAGATTATAGACAGATCTGTAGTCAAGACTATAAACAGATCAATATTCAAGACTAAAGACAGATCTGTAGTCAAGACTATAGACAGATCTATATTCAAAACTATTGACAGATCTATATTCAAGTCTATAGACAGATTTATAGTCAAGACTATAGACTATTCTATAGTCGAGACTATAGACTAATCTATAGTCAAGACTATAGAGTGATCTATAGTCAATACTATAGCCTGATCTATAGTCAAGACTATAGACTAATCTACAATCAAGACTATAGGCTGATCTATAATCAAGACTATAGACTGATCTATAGTCAAGACTATAGACTGATCTATAGTCAAGACTATAGACTGATCTATAGTCAAGACTATAGACTAATCTACAATCAAGACTATAGACTGATCCATAGTCGAGACTATAGACTGATCTACAGTCAAGACTATAGACTGATCTATAGTCAAGACTATAGACTGATGTATAGTCAAGACTATAGACTGATCCATAGTCGATACTATAGACTGATCTACAGTCAAGACTATAGACTGATCTATAGTCAAGACTATAGACTGATCTATAGTCAAGACTATAGACTGATCTATAGTCAAGACTATAGACTGATCTATAGTCAAGACTATAGACTGATCTATAGTCAAGACTATAGACTGATATATAGTCAAGACTATAGACTGATCTATAGTCATGACTATAGACTAATCTACAATCAAGACTATAGGCTGATCTATAATCAAGACTATAGACTGATCTATAGTCAATACTATAGACTGATCTATAGTCAAGACTATAGACTAATCTACAATCAAGACAATAGACTGATCCATAGTCGAGACTATAGACTGATCTACAGTCAAGACTATAGACTAATCTATAGTCAAGACTATAGACTGATTTATAGTCAAGACTATAGACTGATCTATAGTCAAGACTATAGACTGATCTATATTCAATACTATAGACTGATCTATAGTCAAGACTATAGACTAATCTACAATCA